GTAGGGGAGAGGAAATTCTACCATTGTAAAATTTTTCATTATATATAAAATGGTATAATATTAGTTAGAAGTATACCATGATAAACAAGGGAAATACATCACAGTCACTGGAAGTTGCACTGTCCAATATTTATCCTTAGCCATTAGCCAAATGTGGCCCAAAATAAATTTATTTAAAATTAGATAAAATTTAAAATTCAGTTCCTCAATCACACATTTCCAGTTTGTATAGGTAGAGGTGACCCGTACCAGACAGTGCAGCTATAGATCGTTTTCATAGTTATAGGAAGATTCTACTGGATAGCACTAAGTTAACTGAGTAGCTTGCTTAGTCTCTTCCTTTCTGCCTCATCACCATATTAGGTGAGTCAACATTATGTTAGTGCCTCTTCTGATATTTGATCCTCAATTCCTCAGTCACAACTAAAGCATTGACCTTTATACCCATGTCAACTTCTTATATTACATACTGGAAACTGTCATTACTCAAAACACTTGTCCTCAAGTATGTTAAACTATAAGCTTCCTAACTTTGACCATAAGCTACTTACAACTACTTCTCCAAATCACGTGCTCCTACAGCAGTGATAGCTGATTTACCGTGTTCTAATTTTCTAGCTCCCTCCATTAATGTTTTAATCTACTCTTAGTCTAGAACTAGATTGATGATATTTCCCCAGTACTCTCTCTGTCTCTTTTCTTGATAGTCCTTTGGGCTCCCCTGGTGAAAGCTGAAGTCTAATTAACTTGTGCAAAATAGTTCTTGAATTCCACTTCTGGGCTCTTGAACACTGGTTTAGAAATTTCTAAACTATATTGATTCATCTCCTCAGATTACTGCTCTTCAACTCAAATAGTTCTTCATTGCTACTCAATAGTTTTATTCATCTTCTTTGGATTCTGGTATACTTCCTACAATAGCTGTTCTATGCCATATTTTACTCCTCAGTCCTTCAGTCTAAACTCAATCCTGCCTCCTTATCCTTGCCAGGTAGATAGTTTTTGTGTTTGTTTTATTTTTATTTATTTTGTAAAAAATTAGTTTAACTTCACTTATTTCTTTATTTTAATTTGAGCAGAGAGGGACAGAGTTAGTTAAGGGTGCTGAACTCCCACATGGGCAAATATGGTTTGAGTCCCAGATCTGCGACTTGCTCTCTCACTTTCTCTCTCTCTCACACTGTCCCACTCTGATCAAAATTAAAAATAAATAAAATAAATAAAGTTAAATAAAAAATAATTCTAAAAACAAACAAAAAAAGAGTTGGTGTATCCAATCTTAATCCCAGCTCAAAGAGCAAACTGCTGAAAATCCAGATTGCTATGTCTCTATATCCCCTGAAATTGCACAAGACCTGGCACAAAGTAGGCATGTACTAAATACTGAATGTCATTATTTTCACATCTATTCTTGCAAAAGTAGAGTATTTTATAAATAGAAAAATTATATTTACCCAGTCTCATTCTTCTGTATGATTTATTTAGAAATTATTTATGAATAAAGTTTGATACTGCAGTTCATCAACATGGTAACAATTACAATTTCACAAACATTGGGTTTTTGTATGTCACTAAAAGTAGTAAGAGGGCCAAGAAGATGTCTCTTTTTTATAGTGACAACAGGCTAAAAACTTCAGGCCTTATCTTTGAGTTAGTGGCAAACCACTGAAAGTTTGTTAACAGAAATTTTACAGACTTTGTGGTCCAGGAAAATCATTTTGACAGTAACATTGAGAATTATGCTTTTTTTTTCTGGGTATATTAAAATAAATATTCCTTTAGCATATACTAAATTGCAACTGTAGAACTGAATTGCATTAATATGTCAAATAAAGACTTCCATGTGATTCCTACAAAATGATGGCCTAAGATCATCACCAAATGGCATTCATTTTCTATACTAGTCTGCTAGGGCTGCTATTAAAAAAAAAATACCACAGGGACCAGCAGTTGGCGTAATGGCTATGTCACTGGACTCCCAAGTAGTCGACCACAGTTCGAGTCCCAGACCCAGTGGCTTAAACTCACGCCGGGCACGTGTGCATGCATGCCTAAGGTCCTGAGAGGAGAATGGAGGAGAAGGGATTGCAGCATGGCCATCCTCCCCGGGAGGTGATTTCTTGCTTTCTGTCTCTCTGTCTCTCTGGCAAGCACATGTACCTTATTGCAAAAACCTCTCAAAAAAAAAAAAAACACAGACTGGACCAACAGATGGCATAATGGTTATGTTGCTAGATTCCCACATGGCCAAATATGGTTCGAGTCCTGGACCCAGTGGCTTGAAACTCACGCCAGGCATGTGTGTGCGTGCATGTGTGTGTGTCCAGAGGAGAAAGGAAGAGAAGGGATTGCAGCATGGCTAACCCTTCTGGGGGGTGATTTCTCGCTTTCTGTCTCTCTGTTTTTCTCTATTTCTCTGGTGAGTGCATGTATCATATAGAAAAAATCTCTTTAAAAAAAACACAGACTGAATGGCTTATAACAACAGAAATTAATTTTCTCACACTTCTGGAGAATAGGAGTACAAGGTTAAGGTGTCAGCAGGTTTGTTTTTTCTGAGGCCTCTCTCCTTGCAGATGGCCAACTCTTCTCTGTGTCCTCATGTCATCCTTCAGCACGCACATCCCTGGTGTCTCTTCCCCTTCTTATAAAGGCACCAGTCATATTAGATCAGTGATCAATCTTATGGTCACCCATATGACCACATTTAATCTTTAAAATTTTTTTTAAATTTACATTTAATCACTATATATCTTTACAGGGTACATTACTTTTTCCAGCATAAATACAGTGCATATCAGTTAAGACAAAGACATTACTGTATACATGATCATCAGCAAATAACTTCATTTTTGTGTTAATTAAACATATTTTCCCCCCGTTTTTCTCCCTCCTTCCCTCTATTACCCACCCCCGTATTACTGCATCCTTACTATCTCTAGTATCTACAGCTGCCCTCCCTACTACTATACCTTCCGAACTCAGTTTCTGCTATAGAGTGCAGACATTTGGTATATAATGAGTGGGGACGTACCAAGTCATCTACTTTGTATCACATGTTAGGGCCTCCTTGTTTTTTATAGCTGAGTAGTATTCTGTAGAGTACATATACCACTTTTTTTTTTCAATCTACTTGTCTATTTGGACATTTGGGTTGATTCCATGTCCTAGCAATTGTAAATACTGCTGGCAATAAACATGGATGTGCAAGCATTTTTCTGACTGAGGATTTTTCCATCCTTTTGGTAAATACGTAAGAGTGGAATTACCGGGTCGTATAGTAGTTCTATTTGTAGGTTTCTGAGGAATCTCCATTTCATTTTCCACAGTGATTGTATTAATTTGCATTCCCACTAACTTCATTTAATCTTAATAACTTTTCTAAAGGATCTATCTCCAAATATCGTCACATTCTGATGTGTAATAAGGGTTAGAACTTCAATATATGCATTTGAGGGGACATAATTAAGTCCATAACAGTTACTAACAAGCATATATAGTTTACACACCTTCTATGGAGGCACATTTTTTTTGTTATTTTTCAATAGTGGTAATAGTGTTTGAGTGATTAAACATAACATTTCTATTTACATGACTAGCTAAACATACCTGTAAAACAGCTATTATGTTAGGCTAATCATTCCAGACAATGATGCTGAAAAACTCAAATGAATTAAGTCTGTCAGTTCTAAAGTTGAGGCAAAGTTATTTATATTCGTTCTTGATAAAAAACAAAACTGAAATCCAAGGTAGATATTATTTTCACTTTCTATATAAGAAAACTGAGAGGCCAACCAGGTGCTATGATAGTTAAGGCAGCTAGACCATGGCTGATTGTACAGGTTTAGTCCCAGACTTGGTGGCCTGAAAAACATGCCTAGGGGCCAGCAGTTAGTGTAATGGCTATGTTGCTGGACTCCCATGTAGTTGACCGCGGTTCACGTCCCGGACCCGGTGGCTTAAAACTCATGCCGGGTGCGTGTGCATGTGTGCCCAAGATCCCGAGAGGAGAATGGAGAAGGGATTGCAGCGTGACCATCCCCCATGGGGGGTGATTTCTCACTTTCTGTCTCTATGTCTCTCTCTGTCTGGCGCGTGCATGCGCCCTATAGCGAAAACCTCTCAAAAACAAACAAATAAAAAACCACATGCCTAGTACATGTGCATGCATGTCCCAAATACTGACGTATTAGAGACGGGATTGTGGTTTGACCATCTCCCCTGGGGAGTGCTTTCTCACATTCCTTCTCTCTCTGTCTCTCTCTGGTGTGCATGTGCACTCTATAGTAAAACCGAAAAGAAAAGAAAACTGAGATTTAGAAGTAACAGACTTATAGTCATACAGAGAAGAGTTGGTGGAGTCAGCATTTGTATTAGGTCATTCTCAATGGCCAAGGTTGTGTGCAGAGCCATTTAGCTTTGCTTCAACCCTAATAATGCTAATACAGCACTAATGAAAATTTAACAGCCCAAGAAACTGACTGCTTAACTGAACGGTGTGATAGATTATAGCTCTTGTTAACTTAGGTGAAGGGATTTTCAGACTCCATAACTAATGTCCTCTGTTTTATCCATACTATGACACAGACTTGGATTATAATAGAAGTCTTCTCTTTTTCTAAATTTCTTCACCTAAAAAATGGGGATAATAGCACTAACTTTGTAAGGTTTTTCTAAGATTAAAGGTTATTAAAGTATTGTTTGCATTGCCTGGAATAATTATCATGAAGGCTAGAACTTATTCTCAGATTCAGCAATTAGATTTTGTTAAATTTTGGTTTTAAGAGAGAGATTTCTTGCTGTAGGACATGTACACTTCCCAGAGAGACAGAGAGACAGAAAGCAAATCACCCCCCAAGAGGGATGGTGACACTGCAATCCTTTATCTCCATTCTCCTCTCAGGATTTTGGGCACATACCCACATGCACCTGGCATGAGTTTCAAGCCTCCAGGTCTAGGACTTGACCTGCAATTGACATTGTGGGAGTCCAGCAGCTAAACATTATGACATCTGCTGGCCCCAGATTTTGTAAATTTTATAGCATCCTTACAATGGATAGTTCTTCAAATCCTCTTTATTCTTCAGAATGAGAAACATAAAAACACCTAAAATGGAAAGGGCGTATGTACTTGTCAAAGACAGCATGAATAAGATATGGTACAATATATTTCATGCTACGAATAGTTCAAGGAGGAAAGAACTGTAAGACATGCAGTAAGTGCTATCCAAAGATTATTGGGATTGGGAACAGACCACTTAAAATGAATATAAAAGAGATTCAAATTTTACAGTATATATAGAAGAAAAAAAGATTTGATTGGGACTCAGTAGGTAATTCAGTTAAAAACCAGGAAAACAAATTTATCTTACTTCAGCAAAAATCCAGATTATAAAAACGGAAATGTACTATAAGAAAAGAAATAACATAAAGACAGAGGATTTGATACTAAAATATTTCATTACTTACTTCATGATTCAGAGATAATCCTTAACTATAGCATAAAAATGTTGTTTAAAAAAGGAGCTGATTTGTGAAAGCGTTGTGCTGTTTTCATTAGGTATTCAGTGAATTAAACCACTGTTCCATCATAATATCAGATTAATTATTATTAGAAACAATGACTTATCATAGTAAAACCATAAGACTCTAAGTAAATATTCTAGCAAATGTGAAACTGTATGTTCATAGGTTTCCCTCAAAAGTCTCTTAATTCACTAATTAGGCAAAATTCTGCGTCCTTGATGAAAGATCAGAATGGCAGTGGCATTCACCTAAAAGAGACTAAATATAACTATATATATAATATGTTTCACATTTTTGTTCAAAACAGAAATACATTTAAGTACAGACCTTATTAGGTCACTGGTAAAGTCATGACATATTTTTCTGCTTTTCTATGCAAAAATGTGTCACGACTTTTCCAACGACTCAATAACTGCATATAGATATTGATGCTCTTTTAATGATAATCTTAAAATTTCTCAGATCCAATGAGACACTTGGGTGTTTCCTCTGCAAAGTGCAAGTAATGAGAAGAGAGAGGTAATATGGTATATGTAAGTGTCTGTAACGTTTTCTCAGTATAAAATAGGATTTGGCTTTAGTACCTTACAAGTTTCCAAAGTTGTTTGATAATATCAAGATCTGACAGAAAAAAGTAAGTTTCCACTGAAATAGTATAATATACAAGCTTGTTTCCTACTGTTTTAGAATAAGACAGGTTATGCCAGGATAGTAAATGTGATTCCAGTGAACTTTTCAGTCTTTAAGCAGTGTATTTATTAAGAATAAACAAAAATCTCCTTTTCTGATAACTAATTATGAACCTTTGAAAACAACTAATGGAAAGCTCAGTAAATTGTTGTTTCCTAGTCAGGCAACCTTTTTACCAAAAAAAATAGAAACCATAAATAATGAGAAAAAGACCAACATTTTTCCCCAGAATTTAATATTTTTAAAAAGACAGAAAATATAAAAATTATCAAAAAAAGTAAAAGGTTCATTTTGGAGCTAAATAATAGGATTGAAACTCTGTTCCTGTAGTTGATTTTAAGGATGAAATATAAATATAAAAAAGTATAGCAGCCATAGCTGTTCAATATAAAGTCCACCATCATGACAAAGTGGGTTTAATGAGCAAATACCCACATCATGACCTTAGGACTAAACTCAAATGGTTTTAGTTACCAAGGTCCAAAAGGAGGATCATCTTGCATGCTTAGATTCTACCTCTTCAAGAATCCACTCAATGCCATTCAAAAAACCAGTAAGAGTTTCAGCCACTGTATCCTGGACCTACAAGCAGAAAAGAGATCATTATCAATAAGAAACTGAATCTAAAATCTTATGATTATGTAGGATATTTTTCTAGACACTAGGAGTGAGACTGAAAATTCCAATAAACTTTAAGTAAGTCACTCAAATTTTGTGTTAAAATGCTGGGATAAAAAATACTATCCTGGACACAGTAATTAGTGTGAGTCGACAGCCCTCACAATGGGAAAATATTTTTGTAAACTATTCATCGGATAAGGGACTGATAACCAGAATACACAAGGAAATCAAGCAACTGTCCCCCAAAAAATAATCAACCCTATTAAAAGATGGGAAAATTAGTTGAAAAAAAACACTCTCTAAGGATGACATATGAATAGCCAAAAGGCATATGAAAAAATGCTCAACATCTCACATTTTAAGGGATATGCAGATCAAAACAACAATGAGATACCACCTAACCCCAATCAGAATGACTAAGATTAAAAAAAAAAAAATCGTAAGTGCTGGTGGGGTGTGGTAAAAGGGAAACTCTCTTACACTGCTGGCGGGGATATAAATTGGTCCAGCCACTGTGGAGAACAATTTAGAGATTCCTCAAAAATCTACAAATAGAACTACCATATGATCCAGCAATCCCACTCCTCTTGGTATCTACCCGAAGGACAGAGGAATTTTTTTTTTTTTTGAGAGATTTTCACTGTAGGGCGCGTGCGCTCGCCAGACAGAGAGAGACATAGAGACAGAAAGCGAGAAATCACCCCCCAGGGGAGATGGTCACGCCGCAATCCCTTCTCCTCCATTCTCCTCTCGGGATCTTGGGCACGCATGCACACGCGCCTGGCATGAGTTTTTTTAAGCCACCGGGTCCGGGACACAAACCGCGGTCCACTACATGGGAATCCAGCGACATAGCCATTACGCTAACTGCTAGTTCCCAGGACAGAGGAATTCTTAATTGAAAAAGTGCTTGCACATCGATGTTTATTGCAGCATTATTCACAATTGCTAAGACATGGAACCAACCCAAATGCCCACGAACAGATGAATGGATTGAAAAACTGAGGCACATATACTCTATGGAATACTACTCAGCCATTAAAAACAAAAAACCAAAAACAAACAAACAAACAAAAAAGCCCTGGCTTTTGACAGAAAGTGGAAGAATATAGAAGATTTACTGCTGAGTGAAGCAAGCCAGGCTATGAAAGTGAGACATTATATGTCCCTAACACTTAATATATACCAAGTGTCCATACTCTATGACTGAAACTGATTGACTAAAGGATATAGAAACACAGTAAATGGTTGTGAATACCAGATACAGTGTGGGTGAAAGAGTATAGTCTGAGGAAGGGCATTTAGAAGAAAAATAGAGAGGTGAAGCATTAATGAGACAAAGAAATGGGGCATTATCTGTTGAAGATAACTTCATAGTATTATCAACTGGACTTAGGAGAAATGTATACATGTTGGAATATTCACTTTGTAAGCTAAATAACATGATTGAATGTATAAAAGAACATGAAATAAAAATAAAAAAGTAAAAATCATGCTATCCTTTCTTATGATTTTTAACTGACGTTAAAACTGTCATTTCATTGAAGAGAATGAATAGGAAAGAATAAAACCATATAGAAAATAGAGTAGATAAATACAAAATTTTTGTCACCTGGAAAGATAGAACCTTACCATCCATGGGTGGTTTAGAAGATTCAGATGCAGTTCATGGGCCAAATAAAAACAGGGCATTCTCTTTACATGTGCTTGAGAAATACAAGATAAAACAAGCATTGGTCGTCCTGAAGATCCGAAAGCTGGATCTGTCATTGCCATAATACGAGAAAATTCATCTTCCCACTCATGTCCTAAAAAATGGAAGTCAAAATCCTAAAATCGCATACTTATAATGATTTTTAAAATAATAAACAAAAAACTAACAATACAAGAGAACAAAAAATTTACCAGGATCTAAACATAACAGTCTCTATTGCTTTGTTCACTTACTGACCTGTCACAAAATTAGATTATAATTAGTCTTACAAGGGTAGGAATTTAAGTAAAGCCAGAGAAAAATTTTCACTGTATCACTGAGCTATTTCTTTTTATTAAAAAAAAGAATTATTTTTTATTTAATTTTATTTATTCATTCACTTATTTTAATTTGACCAGAGAGAGAGTCGGGGGTGGGGGGAAAGAGAGAGAGAGAGGAAAGTGAGAAAGCGAGCTGCCAGGTCTGGGACTTGAACCGTGGCCACCCATGTGGGAGTGTTCAGCACCTTAACCACCATGCCACCTGCTGGTCCCTCACTGAGCTATATCTATAGTTTAAAAATAAAATCATAACCTTTTCTTTTTTTTTTTTCTTTTTTAAGAGGTTTTTGCTATAGGGCACCTGTGCTCGCCTGACAGAGAGAGACAGAGAGATAGAAAGCGAGAAATCATCCCCCAGGGAGGATGGCCATGCCGCAATCCCTTTTCCTCCATTCTCCTCTCGGGATCTTGGGCACACACACATATGCGCCTGGCGTGAGTTTTAAGCCACCGGGTCCAGGACGTGAACCACAGTGGACTACATGGGAGTCCAGCGACATAGCCATTACACTAACTGCTGGTCCCATAACTCTTTCTTTAAAAGGGCTTACTTTCAAATGTAAGCATATAGCTGGGTCCAGGTGGGTTTTTTTTTTTTTTCATTCTAAATTAACAATATCTGTCTTTTATTGGAGAATTTAAACCATATACATTTCATAGAAGGCAAAATTCTATTAGGTTGTCAGAAAAGTCAGGATGCATTTTTACATAGAAAAGTACATTATGACTTATCCATCAACCCAATAAAGAGATCCCAATGACTGCACATACTTGTATAATCCTTTCCTCTGAAGTGTTGAAGGAACCTGCAAATAAGATAGGATATTGCTCACATGATTAGGCTTTAAGATATAACTGACTTGGGACCAGTAGATCGTGTAGTAGTTAAGGCACTGGACTCCCACGTGGCTGACTGCAGTTTGAGTCTCAGACCCAGAGGCTTGAAATTCATGCCAGGGCTGTGTGCATGCATGCCCAAAATCCCAAGAGGAGAATGAATAGAAGGGATTGTAACATGGCCGTCCTCTATGGGGAGTGATTTCTCACTGTCTGTCTCTCTCTGTGTCTCCAGCAAGGGCACACACCCTGTAGCAAAACAAAACAAAATAAAACAAAAACAAAAACAAACAAAAACTCTCAGGAAAAAAAAAAAAAAGATATAACAGACTTTAAGAAAAGGAAATTATCCTCTGTGACTCTGACCTAATCAGACCCCTTCAAAGGCTCCTCCTGGTGAAAGAGATTCAATACAAGGGAAGGTCTCCATTGCTTAGATTTAAAAATGGAAAGAACCAGATGGCAAGGAATGCAGGTGGCCTCTAGAAACTGAGAGCAGCCTCCAGGTGACCACCAGCAGAGAAACAGGAACTTCAGACAATCCCCTTCATGAGCTTGAAAGCAGATTCTTCCCCAGTCTCTAGAGGGGATGCAACCCATCTAACACCTTAGTTTCAGTCTGAGAGTCCAGACTTGGGAGAATCATCAGCTAATAAGTTTTGATTTGAGCTAAATTTTAGATAATTTGTTATAAATAAATCAATGAATGAGATCAATGAAAATGAATAAACATTTACTGTAATTATCAACATGATACTTTTTTTTTTTAGAGAGAAATTTTTGCTATAGGATACGTGTGTGCACTCACTGGAGAGACAAAGAGACAGAAAGTGAGAAACTCCCCCAGGGGGGGATGGCCATGCTGCAATCCCTTCTCCACCATTCTCCTCTTGGGATTTTGGGCACACATGCACCTGACGCAAGTTTTAAGCCTCTGGGTCCAGGACTCGAATCACGGTCGACTACATGGGAGTCTAGTGACATAACCATTATGCCATTTGCTGGTCCCAACATGGTACATTTAAATCTATTATATATCTCTTGGATTTTGACTTGCTTTATTTGTTCTTTGCTCCTTTTTCCTACTTTGCCTATCTTTTTTGAATCTTCTTTTATTTATTTATTTAATTTTTTAAATTAGAATGAGAGAGAAAGAGAGCCAAAGGAGAGGAGAGAGAGTATGAGAGAGTGCAGGAGGAGAGGCAGAGAGGGGAATTTTTGACCTTTGAGATTCCCTGCCCCCGGCTCCCAGTTACCTAGGATCACAGGTACATGCCATGCCCAGGCAATCCAGGTTGGCCTGAGAACCTCCATACCATTCTTCCTACCCCTGGCTTGGTCTGCTATTGTTTGTTATTTAGTAAGGACATGGCGATTTCTCAGGATTTTGTCCCAGTCAAATTTTATATTGTGATGAGTCTGAGCCTCAGTGGTGAAGGGTCTCTCCATGTTAGAGCATTAGTACTGATGTCTACAAATGTATTGGTAGAAAGGTCTTTGGTGCAAATTTCCTGCCCCTCCCCCAGAATCAGCAAACACCTAAGTTTCAATGTAGAATCCTTGGTACAAGTGGGATTCCTACCTCTCCCCTAGGGACAAAGAGTTCTACTCCCCTCTCCAGCACCAGTCAAGCTTTGTCTAGATTCGAGGTACAGGGGAATTTTGTATACCACTCCTAGTGCCAGAGAACTTTGGGGCCTTATGAGAAAAGCATATAGAAAGCAGGACATAACTGTATTCCAGAAGCAGCCAACCATCATGTATAGGCCTATACCACCAGTGAGGGCACTCAGAGACTTCTTGCACTACCTCTAATTTTTCACATGAGTACCTAGTAGGGAAAAGAACAGTAAGTGGTGCAGATTCTTTTTGGGTCTTGTAATTAAAAAAAATTTAAATTGTCAGGGCTGGCAGGTGATATAGTGGTTAAGGGCACTGGACTCCCACATTGATGACCATGGGTCAAGTCCTGGACCTGGTGGCTTGTTCTTTCTCTCTCTCTGTCCCTTTCTGATCAAATTAAAATAAAGAAATAAAGTTAAATAAGATAATTCTTTTAAAAATACTTATCTATTTGTTTGTATAGGGACATAGAGAGAAGACTGGAAAATATGTAATAGTAGGGACTATGTCTGGTTTAGTTCCCAACTGTATCTCTAACTCCAACTATAGTCCCTGGCCTTAGTAGAAACTCAACTACTTGCTGAATACATGAATTCACCTTTTATTTTTGCTTCTAATTTTTTATTTCATAGGTAGCCCTGTAATAACAGAAATTTATATTTTTCCTTGTGAATAATTTTTCCAGATTTTTTTGTTAGTCTGCTATAGGATGCATGTGCTTCTCCTGAGACAGAGAGAGAGAGAGTTAGAAAGACAGACAGAAAGAAAGAAAGTGAGAAATCACCTCCCACAAGGGATAACCAGATTACAATCCCTTCTCCTCTCCTCTTCTCTTGGGATTTTGGGCATGCACATACACACACCTGGCATGTTTTTCAAGCAACCAGGTCCTGAACTTGAACTGCGCAGTTGGCCATACGGAATCTAGCCATCTTAACCACCACACCACCAGCTGACCCTACTCAGATTTTAAAAGTATAATTGTTTCCTCTCTAACAGATTGTGGAGGAAATAAATTCAATGAATAGTCAAACCAGTGTATTAAAGAACTATTATATATACACGTTTATAAATACAATATATAAAATATTAGGTCCTCAGAAAGTCATGGTATATTTTTCTATGCTTTTCTACGCAAAAATGCATCATGACTTTTCTGATGATCCAATAAATATATATTCATATTTTGCTTATAAAGATTTGAGGAAGAAGTCATAATAGGCTCATGGCCCAATGATATAGTGATTGTATGCCTAAATAGTATTGTGAATGGCAATTGTTTAGAATATATATGGAGTGTATTCACAATTAATCTACTTAATTAACTAATCTACTTAATTAACACCCCACCCCCATACTTTTCTACTATCTGGGAAAAGAAACATAAACATTTTCATAGTTACTTGAAAAAGCCAGAAATAGATAAAAGATTGGTAACTAGAATGCAGAAACATAAACAAAAAATATTATATAGAGTATCAAACTTTAGTATTCATCAGCATTGTCTGGGTATCTGTATAAAACAAATGCCAAAGACACAATTCACATCCATGAAGGGCAATTCACCAGGGTAGGAGTCATGCAACTAAATGTTCAATAAGCTCCCCACATGATCTTAACGCACACCAAGGTTTGCTGATCCACTGTTTAGTAATAATGGTCAGAAAATTCCAGTGATAAAATTAACCATCATATTCATAAAGAACCATAGTAAAGACTGGAAAGGTATTTTCTTATTTGTTTTGAGAAGAGTGATGTGATAGTACTTTTAAAAAGAAAATAAGAGAATGCTTACTTTTTTGAGCTTCAGCATTGGCAACATAGATGAACCCATCTACAACTTCACACACCTTCTGAATTTGTGGAATCACACTATAACAACTTCCTTGTTGGTCATTTCCTTCATTCTGTAGACTGAACATCTTGTTAACTGTACTTGTCTGCTCTTCCCTTGCTCTATCTCTTTCCTTTCTATAAGAAAAATATAAATGTAGAACATAAAAGACACTAAACAGGCTCTACCCCCATACAATGTTCCAGTTCTAATGTTTCAGGTAGGCCACCAAGTAAGTAGCCTTACCTGGTAGTCGAATATAATACCAGGATGTTGAACTTATGTTGGTTGTTCAAATGAAAACTGACTCCTGACCCAATACCTAAAGGAGAAAATTATAGTTATTAAAACAAATCATTAATAAAGATAGAAAAAGATCAGACTGGAAAAATTCCCTAGAGAAAGAAAAAGCTAAAATAAGTTACATAAGTTACATTCCATACATGGAATAAACCACAGTGTTTGCACTGAAGAAAAGATGCTACATGAAATTTTCATTCACACAGCAATAAAATACGAATAGAGAACAAAAAGTGCTAGGCTAATAACAGTCCTTTTTATATCATTATCCCTATCACCAGTAACTTGATCATCTTATCAGTACCAGTTGGAGCATAGCAGCTGCTACTATTTATCTGCAAGACTAAGATTTACTTTCATAGCTCTACATGTCCTATTAGTCTTATTATCCATGTATACATTTAATGAAAAGCCATTTTTCCCCCTCTGAAAGGCTGCTTTTAGATTGTTGGGAAGTAACCAATAACACCCTAGAAAATTGAGGAAATACCCCTGTTAATTTGGAATTAGACAGACTTGGATTAGAATCCTTAATTTGCTACTTACAGTCCTATCTGTGAACCTCAGTTTTGACATCAAAGAATAAAAATAATATCAATTTCTTAGGGTTATTAAGAGAATTGAATGATGGGAACCAGCAGTTAGCATAATGGCTATGTTGCTGGACTCCCATGTAATCGACCGTGGTTCGCGTCCCGGACCCGGTGGCTTAGAACTCACGCCGGGTGCATGTGAGTGCGTGCCCAAGATCCCGAGAGAAGAATGGAGGAGAAGGGATTGCGGCGTGTCCATCCCCTCTGGGGGGTGATTTCTCGCTTTCTGTCTCTATGTCTCTCTCTGTCTGGCAAGCACACGCCAGAAAACCTCTCCAAAAAGAAAAAAAGAGAGAATTGAATGAGATCACATTATGTAAAACTTTGAGTAGAGTGACTGATAAATAACAGGTATAAATATTAGCTTCTTACTACTTTATATCTGAATCATTCAAGTTCTTATTGCGCCTCTTCCTTCTTCATTGTGCCTGGTACCACAGATACAGCTAAAAATAAAGCTGACAAGGAATCCAGAGATGGAGTAGTGGTTATATCGCTGGACTCCCGTGTAATTGACTGCGGTTCAAGTCCTGGACCTGGCGAGATTCTCATGCCAGGTGCATGTGCACATGTGCCCAAGAGCCCCAGAGGAAAATGGAGGAGAAGGGACTGTGGTGTATCCATCCACCCTGGTGGGTGATTTCTTGCTTTCTGTTTCTCTCTCTGGTGAGTGCACATACCCTATAACAAAATTCTCTCCAAAAATAAATTAATAAATATAAATAAACCTGGCAAGATTCCTGTCCTCAAGAAATTTTCGTTCAGGTGGACTGCTGAAGGTAAGCATCTCTACTTGAATCCCTCAATACTCAAAGTCAACATATTCCAAAGAATAGCTGTTTTTCCTCCTAAACACATCCCACTTCCAGCCCCCTACCCCCCACAAATTTTACTGTTCTAGTGATTCTTTATCCTAGTGAATAGTTACATCATACAATATGAAACAAGTCAGAAACCTGAAGCCATCCTTATTAGTTCTAATACACACTCATTCCATTAAATTTATATCCTAAATATTCATTCTCTTCTCCCCATTGTCACTAACATTGACTTAATTCATCAGATCATCCTCATTTTTTTATTCTAATATTATAGTGTCTTCATAGTGTGTCTGCATGTATTCCAAACAATTATTCACTCAAGAGCCAGATAAGTCTTTCTAAGATGCAATCATCTCATCTTCTACTTAAAAGCAGTGGACAGCTCCCAAATGTGTAAACATGGCATATAAAGGGAACGCTTCAAAACATTCATGGAAAAATGCATACTATTAAAAACAATGCATGAATTTCAAAAAAATGCTCTCATACTAAAATAAACTTGTACTCTAATTTTATTTTTCCACTTTTTGAAGTAGCCTCACATTCATGGCTTTTCACCCAATTCCAGTCTTTGTAGACACACTGAGCTACATCAAATGTGTTCCATACATCCTAAGCTTTGTGCTCTTAGAAGTGTAATTCTCACTGCACAGGATCATCTCACCATACCTTATTGATTGCCTATACCTACTCATTGTAATGATTCATATGAGGCACTGTCATCAACATGGAGCTGCCTTTGACCCTTGCCTTTCTACCCAGAAGCAAATATCCTCAGATTCTAATCAACTATTTAATTGTCTATGTCTTTACTTCAACCATGTACCTTCAGGCAGAGAAAGATTTTTTGACATTGTTCTAAACTCTTCAACCCGAGCATCTAAAGATGTCTTCAATAAATAGATGTAAGCCAAATTATATTATTATTTGTATTTTTATATCCTGCCTTACCAATTATACATTGTTAATTTTTGAAATTCCAATATATATCAAAATACTTTGTATATAGATACTGAATAGTTTTTGCTGATAACTTTTTTTAAAATTATGGTGTGATATCTGCTGTATAAGTACAACTTTCTGACAACATATAACTTACTTTCACATAATCTTAAATTACAGATTACATAAATTTGAGAAGTTAAGGGGAAGCTTATTTCATTTTATGATAATTCTTTTAGTCCAGTGATACTTGGGGAGGAAGGGGCTCTTATCCTACAAATTACTGTATTTCATTACAACAAAGAATTAATTTAAAAATTGATTTCTTTCTCTTTAATACTTAAGTCAAGCTCTGTTTGAATTGTTAATTACTACAGGTTAACATGAAAATTACCATCAATCTGCCTCTGAGGCAAACCAGCCGTTGGGCAAAGTTCCTTGGATGACATCAAGCTCAACACCAAAGATGTATTCAGTTCTTCCAGACCTGGTCCAAACATAGCAAATCGTGGTTCATTATGAATGATCAGCGAGTGTAGAAAAGAAGTGACGGCGCCATACACAGGTCGGCTGGATTTCAAGGCTCTTCTTGTATATGGACAGCACATTTTATAGCTGAATAAAATTGTCACAATTAGAAAATTAACACAGAAAACACTAAGCTAGTTATTAATTCACTAACATACAGTTTATTTAGTATTTGCTAAACACAAGAGGTAAAACGATCATATAGTCCCAGTCTTCCAGGAGGACGGACAGTGGACTGTCACTATTATACTGTATATGTGGAGTGCTATGACCAGGAAAAACACCAGACACTAAGGGAGAAGGAGAGACTCAGAAGCTGAGGAAGTCTTTCGCAGGAAGTGCTTACTTACTTCCTAAATCTTTCACTTGCACTCTCTCATAGAACCCTTAGTTTAACACATTTGAAAGGTCAAAACTCATTAAATAGACTAGTTGCTCTTGACTTAAGGAGGTTCTAAGTCTCACCACTAACTACTCCTCATCTGACAATATCTGAACATTTCTTTTTTTTGTCACAGCTAGGAAGGAGGGCTGGAGCTACTGCAGGTGGAAGGGCAGGGATACTGCTGAACATCATACAAGGCACAGGACAGTCCTCCATGATATCTTGTCCAAAAGTCAACAGTACCAAGATTGAGAAACCTGCACTAATGAGAAGCTTAAAAGATAGCTAACATAATGTCCCTAGAATTAAAAAAAAAAATTACTAAGGCTGGGGCCAGCAGGTGTTATGGTGATTAAGGTGCTGGACTCCCACATGGCCAACTGTGGTTCGAGTATTAGACCTGGCAGCTTGTTTTTTCTCTTTCTCTGTCTCCCTCTCGTGAGTTCATGAGTCACTTTCTCTCTTTGTCTGTCTCTCTCTCGTGAGTTCATGAACTCTATAGCAAACTAAAAAAAAAAAAAAAGTAAAATAAATAATTCTTAAAAAAATTACTAAGGCCACCAATATAACCAAATTATTTAGCTATTACTATTACCACCCTCAAATATTAGTATTAAGATTGGTACCTTAACAAAAATCATCCGTACTGGAAAACTTGAAATTAAAAACAAACAAACAAACAAAAAACGTGAAATTAAAAAAATAAATAAATAAAAGATGGGACCAGCAGTTAGCATAATGGCTATGTCGCTGGACTCCCACATAGTCGACTGCAGTTTGAGTCCCAGACCCGGTGGCTTAAACTCATGCTGGGTGCATGTGCATGTGTGCCCAAGATCCCGAGAGGAGAATGGATGAGAAGGGATTATGGTGTGGCCATCCCCCCTGGGGGGGGTCATCTGACAATATCTGAACATTTCTTTTTTTTGTCACAGCTAGGAAGGAGGGCTGGAGCTACTGCAGGTGGAAGGGCAGGGATACTGCTGAACATCATACAAGGCACAGGACAGTCCTCCATGATATCTTGTCCAAAAGTCAACAGTACCAAGATTGAGAAACCTGCACTAATGAGAAGCTTAAAAGATAGCTAACATAATGTCCCTAGAATTAAAAAAAAAAATTACTAAGGCTGGGGCCAGCAGGTGTTATGGTGATTAAGGTGCTGGACTCCCACATGGCCAACTGTGGTTCGAGTATTAGACCTGGCAGCTTGTTTTTTCTCTTTCTCTGTCTCCCTCTCGTGAGTTCATGAGTCACTTTCTCTCTTTGTCTGTCTCTCTCTCGTGAGTTCATGAACTCTATAGCAAACTAAAAAAAAAAAAAAAAGTAAAATAAATAATTCTTAAAAAAATTACTAAGGCCACCAATATAACCAAATTATTTAGCTATTACTATTACCACCCTCAAATATTAGTATTAAGATTGGTACCTTAACAAAAATCATCCGTACTGGAAAACTTGAAATTAAAAACAAACAAACAAACAAAAAACGTGAAATTAAAAAAATAAATAAATAAAAGATGGGACCAGCAGTTAGCATAATGGCTATGTCGCTGGACTCCCACATAGTCGACTGCAGTTTGAGTCCCAGACCCGGTGGCTTAAACTCATGCTGGGTGCATGTGCATGTGTGCCCAAGATCCCGAGAGGAGAATGGATGAGAAGGGATTATGGTGTGGCCATCCCCCCTGGGGGGGGTGATTTCTCACTTTCTGTCTCTCTGCCTCTCTCTGTCTGTCTGGCGAGCGCACACATCCTATAGCAAAAACCGCTCCAATAAATAAATAAATAAATAAAAATAAATAAAAGAAAGAAAAAGGAAGAGCTTTGAGGCTGGGCAAAGACCTAGTTAAGTATCAAAATTTTAACAAGTTATATAAGTCATTTATAGTCTGAAGTTTAGTTTCTTCACCTGCATTCTTCAAGCCATAACAACAATACTGGTTGTAAAGATTAGAAATAATTAATATGATCATAAATAGTAGTTACCATGAGCATTACCACTTCCTGGGGAAAATCTAGTTCCACAGCATCAGATAAAATCAAGGCCATAGCTGACTGTAGGGCATTACAGAGACATGACACAGCAAGCGAGATATAATGGCATTTGTTGAGATTATAGAGTACGTATCACATATATTTTAATTAAGTAGTCTTGACATACTAGCCACTAGAGTAAAATAAGGAAAGGTTCTGAATAACTCAAATTAGAAAAAAAAAAAAAGAAAATTACATCCTACAGCTAGCTCAATGGCATACCAGTAATGTGCTGCTCATCAGAGCCAGATCTTACTTGGCAATAGCAGTTCTAAATCCTGCCCGGTCAGCCCAAGGCACGTGCTTGTGCACCCAAGATCTGATGGGCTGGAGGCCTGGGAAAAGGGAATCATGGCATGACCATGTGTTCTATCACAAATAAAGAAAAATATATATCCTATATGTAGCTAGTGAATCTACTACAACAAAATAATTCTTACCTAAAGCATAAATATTGCTTTAATATTAGTTTACAATGCGTTGCATTTGTAGTTCTCAATAAAACAGGTTATATCCAGATCTAGGAACATCGTATATCTTTGAGATGGCATGATGGGCCTCTGATCTGAATAGCCTCTGAGAAACTATATGATCTTAGTAAACCCACATAACCTCTCTGAACCTCAATTCCACCTTCATAAGAAAGATAAAACTTATTGTATGAGGTTTAAATGAATAAATATACATAAAACATCCCTCATGGAGTCCATTCTACTGTAGCTGTGAAATAACCTAAGTTCTCTTACCTCCATGGTATTCAAGAATGTTAATGCTAGGGACCAACACACGGTGTAGCTGATACATCGCTGGATCCCCAAATGGCCAAGCATGGTTCGAGTCTCAGACCTGATGGCTTGAAACTTACATCAGGCGTGTGTGCGTGCATGCCCAAGATCCCAGGAGGAGAATGGAGGAGAAGGGATTGCGGCCTGGTCATCCCCTTTGAGAGGTGGGTGATTTCTCACTTTCCCTCTCTCTGTTTCTGTCTGTCTCTGGTGAGTACACGTCCCCTAAGGCAGAAACCGCTTAAGGAAAAAAAAAAAAAAAAAAAGCCCATTCTTTTTCAAATGGAAGAAAGTATTTCTTTTTTCCTAGTTTTCTATAGAGAAAGTGTACTCCCTGGATGGAAACAGAGAGAGAGAAAGTGAAACAGCATCCCTGGAGGGAATGGACATGCTGCAATCCCTTTTCCTCTGTTCTCCTCTCAGGATTTTGGGCACATATGTACACTGGCCCAGTATATTTTTCAAGCTGCTCAGTCTGGGACTTGAACTGTGCAGTCAGCCATGTGGGGATCCAGCCACCTTAACCACACAACACCACGGACCAGATCCCAGAAAAGTATTTATTATTTACAAAAAAATCAGGCGTTTTATAGATAATGAGATTTTTAGTGTTTTACTTCTGCCATCTGTATTATATAAAAATTATTCAAATACTAATTAGGTGCCACAGGGAGAAAAAAAATGTTAAAGCTGAAAGGTTCCTATGAAGGCAGGCATTTAACTCTACTCCCAATTTTGACAAAAGAATATTTAGAGCTAAAGCACATGCAGTAAATTAGTAGCAAGACTGGGGACTAACTTGGACTACTGATTGGAAATACAGTAAAATTTAATATCTTTTTTTTTAATTCATAAAACTATATACTTACACTGCCATGTAGTCAAAACATGTACTATCAGTGACTTCAGATACAGGTTTTTTTAAGATCTCTAGATCTGGAAGAGACTTCCAGTCAACAGAAGACCAAGAAGGAAGATCCCGCAACAGAAAATATCTCCACAGAATTGGATCTCTTACAGTTTCATTCCAATAATGATTTGTACTTCCCAATTGACACAGGTCATGGGGTGAGAGAAATGACAAAATATGTAGCTGAACATCAATCTGAAAGAGAAGAATATGGCGGGTAGGAAAAAGGAATGAATACTTCATCTTGAAAAATTTTCTTTTGATGACAAATTACACAATTAGAGTTATTATATTAAATAGCCATAATAAAAGATAGCTGAGCTGGTCAATATTTTTTTTTTTTTTGGAGAGGTTTTTGCTATAGGGCTTGTGCACTCACCAGACAGACAGAGAGAGACAGAGAGACAGAAAGTGAGAAATCACCCCCCAGGGGGGATGGCCACGCTGCAATCCCTTTTCCTTCATTCTCCTCTTGGGATCTTGGGCAAACATGCACATGCGCCCGGCGTGAGTTTTAAGCCACTGGGTCCAGGATGTGAACCGCTGTCCACTACATGGGGTCCAGCAACATAGCCATTACACTAACTGCTGGTCCAGGATTTTTAACAATTCAACCTATCATCCTGCCATTACTTTCCTGCCATCAGCAAGGAATCATAACTAAACACAATTTCTGACATACTGAAACACTCTTGAAAAACCAACCACTTCCCCGCTAGCTTTCAAGCAAAATAACCAGTTCCTTTCATTTCTCCTCATGGGTATTTTAACCACCATTTATTTAAATAAACTACTTAAGGAGATGATTGTATCACCAAAATAAAGCTGTTATCAAGAGGACAATTTTTAAAATTTTATTGTTAGTTAAAAAAAGTATAAATCTGCGATCTGATTTCCTCTATATAATGATTCAAATGTTTCAAAGAACCCATGCAGTGGGGAGAACCTTGGAGCTCATGGAACCTGAAGTTTTCAATTTGGGATGCACGTCAGAGGAAGGTGTCTATAGACTAAATGAGATACAGAATTATAACAGTTTCCAAGAATTTCTGCTCTCTCCATTTCCCTTCCACCTGAAAAGTTTAACAATGAATGTGTAAAATCCTGGCCTGTTGCTAACTTGAAACACCTGCAATTTAGTCATTTATTTTCTACTGGGTAGCTGTTTTGGTAGCTCCTATAGTAAGATGACAAGCCTGTGTCCCGGGAGTGCTTGATTCTGGTGGGGCGTTTTGACGCACCAAGCTTGGGATGAAAGATGTGAGAATACGGACTCTGGGATAAGCTAACCAGAGGTCGGGAATGGTTGGTCTCATCTCCTTAGCCAGACGTCCAAGGTGTCCTTGTTTTATGTGCCTGTTTGGGGGCAGAAAACCTGAGGGTGACCTGGCTTGTTACCAGGACGCCCGGTGAAGGTGAGTTTGGCTGCGACCTTCGGACCAGACTGCGAATCGCCAATGGTAAAAAGCCCAGGCATTTCTGGTCAACTGTTGGTTCAGGTGGACGACACTGCCCGGAACGGCTGCAAAGGCCGGGCCTGACCCAGACCCGGGTGCCAGAAGCCCCCAGGATGCCCGAGGCCTCCGGGCATCCGAGACGTCCCCTCAGGGGCATGGACAGCCCGGCCTCCAGCCGCGGGGGGGCGGCGGTGGGGAGCTGGTGCCGCTGCTCTGCTCGCTACCCGCCATGGCCGCCCGCACCCAGTGACGCGCCGCGGAGCCGCGCGGAGCGCCAGGCCTGCTTCCGCCTACCACGCTGGCCCGCGGGGCCTGGGGCCGCCTCCAGCGCTGGGCGAGGCCCGGCAGCCGGGAGGGCGACCGGGAGGTGGCTTGGGCGCCGGTGCTTCCCGCCACGCTGCTCATTTCCGTCTCAACCTCAGCCTCGCTAACCTCACCCTCCGCCTAAAACTTCCTGTCCTGTAATGACGTTCCGACTCTACCCAAGATGTTCGCTCTGTCTGGGATTCACTTCCATTTTGCCAAGGAACTAGGTGACGTCTGATTTTTCAATAGGTGGCTCTCTGCCACTCCTTTGGGCTTCATGACCAGCGGCTTCTTTATCCGCATTGGTCATAGGTCTGGGGTGTGTGTGTGTGTGCCCGTGTATGTGTTTTTCAGTTACCCATTTACCGTTTGTTTTCTTGGAGATTAGCAAAAATCGAGACTAGAGAGAGTTGGGAGCCTAATTACAGACTTTATGCCCAAACGAGCAAGCCCGCTATGCAAAAATGTAAGTACATTTAATAGTGCTGAACATGTGTAACTCATAAAAGGGAAGCAAAAAAAAAAAGGCTACAGTGAGAAAATTCAGATGTAGTATTGCTGAAATTTAGAGTTTTTAAATCTCTAAACAGATGCTCATTCCACTCGCGTTGATCTTTAAAAAGGCTTTAAGAAACTATACCAGAGGCCTCATTACAAGGTAATTTACTGCATAGATTAGGAGAATGAACTCTATAGGTTAAAAAAAAAATAGTACTATGCATCAGTCATTTTCAAATAGATTACCTCACTTAGTCTAATACGAAGAACACTGCTTCCAAACTAGACCTCTGTTGCTTATAGGAGTATTTTGATATAGTGTATTAAATATCAAAACTTAAAATCTTCTAAAGATTATTTAGTGAAGAGCGACAGTGTCTGCTGTACCATTAATGATAAAAACACACCCCGATAAAAATAATCCTGTGGTTTAAAAATCCATTCTTCTTTGGCTTGCCCCATAGCCTAGTGATCAAGGGAGCTGGATCTCCCTTGGCTGACCTCAGTTTGAGCCCTGGCCCAGTGGCTCAATAGCAAGTCAGACTTGTGTGCTAGCATACCCCAAATCTGACAGGATGGAGAAGTGGAAAAGGGTTTGCAGCCTGACTATGGCAAACAAGTCCTCTGGCAACTCGAAAAGAAAAAGGAAGAAAGAAAATTCCATTCTTGAGAATGGAAGTAATAATGAAGTTTAATGTTTTAATCTCCACATAATCTGCTTTAAATCCATTATCAACCAGTAATTGTTTACAACATCCAGAACATGCAACTTCCCATTCTCTTTGTGAAACTATTCAGAGTTATCCAAACATGGATATTCCAAATTTCTCAATGATCCTCTGTCTACCATTATTTTATTCTCAGTTGTCAAAACATTCCCTCGCATCTAACACAAATCATGTTGAAAAATTGTTAAATTTTGCCTTTAGTCTTTAGAGGAGTCAGCATCTTTAGAGAACTATTGTCTGTAAAGCTCATAGTAGACTGTTGAACATATAATTCATATGTATCAGCACAAAAGTGCCTATGTTCAACAATGCACACTTGATGTTTACTGGCATGAATTTACTGTGAAAAAGTAAATATCTGAAAATCTAAATGTCCTGTGAGGTATCAAGACAACAAAAAAGAACCATTAACTGATTAACTGTGGACAAATTATACCACTTTAAGAGAAAACTGAAGCATTGCTGTGTATTTAAGCCACCAACTGGATACAGCTCATTTATCTTAATTTGCTTTGCATTTTTAGGTTTTTTTTTTTTTTTTTGCTTTAGCTTTAATCTTGTTTTGTTACTATATATACACAGTTCCTAAGTACAAAATTAAAATATATTTAGAGAAATCTAGCTTCCATCTTGGTCCTTTCCATCTGCTTCCTCTCCTTCTGATCCCCATCACAGGCAACCATTTTTTAGCTTTGGTTATCCTTCCAAAAAAGTACACACAGACTCACACAGCTTGTATCCCCTTTTTAATATATAGTATTATACTATATTATATTCTTCTCTACCTTACTTCTAACTTAAGTTCACTTCCTAGCATTACATACAAAAAGTTATTGTTTTTTATAGCTACATTACTCAATCATGCAGATATTCAAAGGTTTAGAACAATCTATTTTAAAGTAGGGTATGTGTGTTAAATAGATTGTTAATATTTATGACACCAGCAGTTGGAGTTGCTGGACTGCTACATAGTTGACACAGTTTGAGTCCAGAACTGGCAGCTTAAAACTAATGATAGGCATGTGTATGTGTGAGCCCAAAATCCCGAAAAAAGAGTAGAGAAGGGATTGTGGTATGGCCATCCCCCATACGAGGGGATTTTTCACTGTCTTTCTCTCTTTCGGGCGAGTGTATGCAACCTATGGCAAAAAAAACTCAAAAAAAAAAAAAAAAGATTGTTAATATTTAATTTAATGCTTTTGACTTATGAGTTAAGAGATCAAAAGGTACCAGAAACCAAATCAATCAGGCTGATTGGTAAATGTGGAAGTATTGAGTATATTCAATATGTAGATGATGAACACATCTAAATACAATATGTGTTTTAATTTGGCGGGTAGAATAAAATTTTTTTGAAAATTAAATATAAGTTTTCTATCAGCCATATCCACAAAAAAATTTCAGATGCCTATCTGGCACATGTTTTCTTCTTTGAAACCTGCTTTTTATCTAGAATGACCAGCGCAACTTAAACTAAGGAAAAGGCAGTGTTTACTGTCCAGAACAAACATTTGTCACTCAACTGTGCAGGCTAATGAGCATTTCAATAGCATGCTGACCAAGATATGCCTACACACAGACCCAGACATTAAGGATAAGAATAATAGTATCAATCAGCTAACTCCTTTGTACTCTTACCATGTACTAGGTACTAACCTAAAGCACCTAGAACATTAGCCATTTAATTTTCTATCCTGTGAGGTAGATACTATTAAAATTCTTGTGTTGAAAAGCCAAAGAAAGGCTAAGTAACTTATATAGACTCATACTGTTAGGGCATGCCATGGCTGTGTAAACTCAGGTCTTCTGGCTTTAGAGCTCACAAACCTAACTACTGTATGCTACTCATTCTGAAAGTTATTAAAACCAAAAGAAATTATCATTCTCAAGTTACAAGTCTTCATTCTGAGGCAATAATCAAATATAAAAGAAAACAAGAAATAGGGGAATATGGTTTTATTTTAAAAAAGAAAAGTTATATGCTCTCAAACATTTTACTTAGAAATTTTCACAAGTAATAAAACAAAAAAAAAAACAGTAAAGAACACCAGCATGGATGCATACTGTAATTACTAAATGTATCTTAATGTAGTACTTCCATAATATATTACCTCATGTTGTATTTTAAAAAGAATACAGGGAAGTGATACTACAATATTACAGAACTACAGATTTCTACATTCCAGCAGATGGAGTACTTATATTGAAGCCAGAAAAGCAGCCCTGAAAGGTGGAATGAGCAAAGAGACAAACAATCTAAAACTAGTTCATCAACCAGCTGTGGATTTTTACAAATGCCACCTAAATGAATCTTGAAATGCCTTTCAAAAGCAGAACTGTAAAGCTAGGAATGTAATTTATTGTGGGGTATCAGCTGTGACTCTCACCCAAGTATGCTTGTTCACAAAGGAATTAAGGGAAAGTCTTTTGATCATAGTTTGCACCTTAATCAGCATCAAATAACTTCTAGTAGGCAGAAACTGTACAAATTAGCAAAGCAGAAAGGTCTTTAAGTCTCAAAGCCAAGTTTATACAAGAAAATTCTCATTCGAAAGAGCCATACAAATTTAAGGATTCTGAAAGGTTCTTTGTTAACAGAGTGTCAATTTTATTAGCTATTAGAGAATTCAAAGTGAAGAGAAATCTCAAGTGTTATAAAATACAACAGGGCCTTTAGGTATTATTTATGTTACCATTAGTAAATTCCACACTGGAGAAAAAACATTTAAATGTAACCAAAACGAGAAAGTCATAAGCAGTGACTCAATCGTTACTTCTTTATCAGAACTACGGTGACAGAAACTTTCTGAACGTATTGAATATACGAGCCCTTAAACCAAGAGGGTGGAAGTTGAAGACACAAAAGCTAAAGTAAGAGACAGATACTTGCTAAGAGGTGCCTTCCCAACCACCCTAAATCAAACAGTACTGTTCCCCATGTCACGGTAGCCCCTTATTCTAAGACTTTCCGTATGTGAAGTATTTAATTTCTTGAGGTTACTTCATTCTAAATGAAACAGATTTACTTAGCAGACTTAACTGTACAATGTGTGTTAATCATTGTTTTATAATACACCAGAGGAAAAAAAACACTTGATTGTAATGTTGTGGTCTACAAACTATTCTCTAACTGTGTAGGGCACAGGAAGTTATACAAAAAGCACCCAGTAATACCCTCATATTTGTACCAACCAAAAAAAAAGACCCAGGTGGCTCACAGGGTCATGAAGGCAAAAATGGAAATTCTCAGCTTCTGAAGAGAAAATGCTCTTGTATTCTCAGGTTCAGAATCTAAACACTTATTCCTCTAGATCCTTTATATATCCCTATAGAGGGCATGGCAGTTTGGAATTTAACAGCAGCAAACATTTTGTGCAGAGTTTGGCATTTAGAATCATGCCTTATTAATTAAAAAAGCATGACTGATGGCCTACCATGCATTGATGTATGTATGTATAAGGTACATTTTTTACACATACTGTAAAAGGTGAAGTTTTAAAATGTGGTATTCACCACTTAGTAAGGAAAACATATAGCCATGTGATTAGTGTGCTAACATGGGAGGGGATTAAGGGAACACAATAAAGGGGAACCTTATTTTGACTGGAAAGGGCTAAAGAAGCCTATGGATACAATACCACTGAAGTTAAGTCCTGAAAGGTTAAACAGGTGTTCACTTGGCCACAAAGGACACAGAGTAATGATGTCTATAATCGTACTGAGGCTGAAAAAACACAAGAGCACACCTAGGAAAAAAACTGTAAGTATTTGTAATTGATCCTGATACTCTAAGAGGAGGAGGGATAGTCTGTGGTTCTTAAAACCATATTAAAAATTATTTAAAATCTTTATACTTAGAAAGCACAAAGGTATTTTATAATACAAACTTTTAAAATGCTAAGTTAAATAAAAATCTTCTTAGCTGTGTAAAGATAAGCAATGGGGCTGGGGTGGGATGGGAAGAGATAACCTTGCCCCAAAGGCTCTATCAGAAATTTTACACTTATCAGGAAGGAGTCTGGGTTTCACATATTTGAACACTGAAGAGCTACACAAAATTACACAGGATGACTGCAGAAAGGAGGCTGGGAAGGTAGGCATTCTGTGTTGCTCTGCTCTGTGGAAGATCCAAAGAAGAGACAACATGAAGCAAAAAAAAATGAAAGAAGAGGATGTGCTGTTTGGATATACTGAACTTAAAATCACTATGGGATGCTTGCCCATGTGAAAAATATAGTAGGCAATTGGAAATAAGGTCTAGAGAGCAAGAGAGAAGATAGGATTCAAGTTAAAGTTTGAGTCAGCCTGATAATACAAGTGGTGAAGCAAGTATCCATGGCTATAAATGGAACTGTGTAAGAGTACTTAAGAGTAAGAGGAGGAGGTCTAGCCATGGTAGCACAAGCAGCAAAGACACTGTGCTCTGCAGGCTGGGACCACATGGGAGGACCGAGGTCAAGTGCTAGTTCAACCTAAAGGCCAGGCAGGCGGTATGTGCCTATGTGGTATGACTTGGGGAAGTTGAGGCAGGAGGATCGTGAACTCCAGGGTGGCATGAGCAACATAGTGAGACTGACTTAAAAAAGATAAAAGCCAGGCATGGTGGCACCTGCCTGAAGTCTGAGCTGGGAGACTGAGACAGGAAGGCTCCAAGACAGAGAGACCCAGCCTTTTTTAAAATGAAAGAAAAGGAAAAACATAATGGAAGGATACAATTCTAGTCAAGATTAGCACCTAAGAAGTGGGTAAAAAAATGAGACAAGGAAAATGAGGGAGACAGCGGAGATGAAATCTCTAAATAGATTAGCCTTCAACAGGAGGTAAGCAATCTCTTTTCCTCTAAAATAGGAAAAAATGAGTAAAGTTGGTAAATATATAAGTTGACCTCCTCATAACTCACAATTTTCTGTAAGACAGTAGAAGGGACTATGTGTTAGGGGAGGGGTTGAAAGCCTAATAAAAATGATGAAGGTTGGCTCAGCCACAGTGGGAAAACACAGAAAGGTCACCATGGTAATAAATAAAAGGCTTCATTGAGAAACCATCTCAAGTTGAAGCAAGACACTTGTAGTGATTCCACTTTGAAGGACTGCATGCCCTTTTCTCAGAACTCAGAATTCCAGAAAAGATAGGTAATGGGGTTAATTGAATGTTGAGGACTTCAGAATGATTAGAAATTTGGAAGAAGGAACAACTGATGAGAGCAGTTCATACAGGTAAACAGGAAAGCAGCAAAATCTAAACCTGACGGTAAGGGGAGTAAAGGAAGCAGTCAAGAAAGGTGGCTGGCCCAGGCTCTGTGGCCCTGTTAGAGGCAGATCACACTCCAAAGCTGGAAGCCACATGCCAATGGCAGTTTGAGTTCTCAGCATTAAAAACATGCTGGACACGCACTTGTAGCTAGGATTTGGACAGGCTGGAGATAGGAGGAGATGGCAGTGTAGCCAAGGCTTGTGGAAGGAGTTTCTCCACTGTGCGCACATCTGTGCACGTATGTCCACACATAGACACTCTTATCTCGAGTTAAAAGGAAAGGAAAAAGAGGTTGTGAAGAAGCTAAAGTATGTAGAAAGAAATGAGAGAGAAAATGAATAAAAACAGTGAAAAAACTGGAAAGATGAGAATTGTCATGGATTATTGAAATGTGGTATTTCAAAAAGATGGTAACGTTCAACGTATCGCTGGAAGTAAGTAGCTGGAATGTGATAAAGTCAATGAGAAAGAAGTCCAGGATACCAGCCTACTTTTAGACAGATTGTTCCAAGATGACAACAGGAGCTGAGGTAGACGTAAAGACCATGAGCAAGATATTAAGTCAGGCACTCTGGCCTTTAGCACTCATCCTTACTATTAAAGGCAAAAATACTAGAATGTCAGAGTTTTAAAAGATGTGCCCTAATGTAACACAGTATTAAAAGGTGTGCCCTAAACGTATGTGAACTAATGGTAGACTAACCTAACCTGGTTTTTATCTTTATTACACTACTCACTTGAGAAGTCATGTATATTCTTTTAAAATTAGGAAAATCATTTTTACATTTTTATAAAATGCTTAAGGTAAAGTAAAAACTTCAAATATAATTACTAATACATGGCGAAATTAAACACAGTGAATCCTATATGGATTCTCCTGTATGGAGTCTTTCATTATTTACCATAATAGAAATGAAATTTAAATATAGTCATAATCTTTCATTTTGCCTACGTTGATATACATACTATGTATTCAAAGCAATGAGGCAATTGAATTTTAAGCTTTGAAACATGATATAGTTCAAGATAGGGAGTTTAAAAATTATCTGTAGATGATTACAATGTTTAGTTATGTATATTTTACCAAATAAGAAAAAAAACTAAAGTAATAGGAAAAAATTGTTTTCAAGTAAATTGGGTTCCTTCTTATAATTAGTGACAGGGTATCTGTAGTTCAAGCTGACTTAGAATAACATACATGCCATTTTAGAAATTAAAACAACATTTCTTCATGAGTTTAAGAATGTATAATAGAAGATGGTGATGACATTTAAAGATGGGTAACCATTCTGGATATCCTTATGTACTGTTTTGTTCTCAAATTCAGTGCCAATGTCTTCTGTTCTAGAATTTTCTTTTCCATTTCATGGGTCCTTTTGTTTTTCTGTTTGGAAAAAACTGGATGGATTTACTAGTTACAGCGAAGCTGAAAGAAGTTTAAAATTTGTTTTGCATTCGTTGTATTCCATTCTTGTTCTTTCAGGGGTCCTTCACACACAGATACATACTTTTTCAAAATTTTTTCTCCAACTTCTCGGAAATCTAGGGGTTCTTTGTGTGTAGTGCAGCTCGCTCCACAAACATCAGTATCCACTTCATGATTCTCTGGCTGTTGATCTGCACAATGCTTCAATCCCCAGTAACACATTTCTCCACTGTACATCATGGCCAGCAAGTGAATGTCACTAAATATTCCTAGGAAAATTATTTAGATTGAGAGAATTATAAGTTTAAAAAGAAACGCTTGTTATCAAAATTCTAATAAATTCCTTTGTCATTAAGAATTCCTCACTTAACAGTAAAAAAAAGTAAACATCATTAATGCAATCTTCATTTAATTGCCATTTTTACTTCTATTTTATGTATAAAAGAGGCTTACTACATAAGTTGAGTATTATCAAAGAAATTTTAAAAAGAACCAATAAGGTACGTGTTCTTAATGTATTTGGAATACTTAAGACCTTTTTAAAAATCTAATTTTATCAATGGAATCCCTCCCAGAATACACATTCCAATTCTACCAACAATTTCAGAGTACTCATAAACACCCTGAATATCTCTACTATGACTGCAACCTTTTTTTTTAAAAAAGAGATTTTTGGTTTTAGGGTGCATGTACTTGCCAGAGATTAAGGAGAGACAGAAAATGCAAAATGGGAGTGGCCATGCCACAATCCTTTCTCCTCTACTCTCCTCTTGGGATTTTGGGCATGCATGCACATGTGCCCAGTGTGAGTTTCAAGCCACCAGGTCTGGGACTTGAACTGCAGTTGACCATATGGGAGTCCAGCACCTTAAGCGCTATGCCACTTGCTAGCCCCATGGCCACAACTTTCGTTCTACAAATACTACAGGATTACTGGTCAAGTTAATAGCCATGTAACTTATACCTATTATATTTCTCTAAGAGTCTACAGAAATGATCATAATCATGTCCCTGAGAAGCCACACAATTCCAAATTACTAAAGGTGATAAATTACACCCAAGATACTTTGTATTCCCAGGAATAAAGAATACATTGCAGGATTTTCAACAATTTCAGCACATTCTTCTTACGGGTAGTTTTTCCAGTAGGCAATCATATAATTAAACATTTAAAGGGCACGAAGTTTGAAAGACAAACAGACCTGGAATCAAAAAGATCTGGGTATAAATTACTAGCTTTGAAAGACTCTGGGTAAGTCACCAAAGATCTCTGAATCTCAGTTTGTAAATCTGAAAAATGATTCCATAAGCCCTACTTTGATTCAGGGAGTCTTTGTAATGAACACATGAAATAAAATGTATGCATTTCAGAAGCCAGAGGTGTCACTTAAATATCTGACCATTTAACTTCTTTTTTTTTCTCTTTTTTTTTTTTTGGAGAGGTTTTTGCTATAGGGCGCGTGCGCTCGCCAGACAGACAGAGACGTAGAGACAGAAAGTGAGAAATCACCCCCCAGGGGGGATGGCCACACCGCAATCCCTTCTCCTCCATTCTCTTCTCGGGATCTTGGGCATGCATGCACACGTGCCCAGCGTGAGTTTTAAGCCACCAGGTCTGGGACGCGAACCGCAGTCGACTACGTGGGAGTCCAGCGACATAGCCATTACGCTAACTGCTGGTTCCCTGGTCATTTAACTTAAGGCTACAAATGTGCAAATAACAGATTTATTCTAATATTCAGGTACTTATTGATTAAAAAAGGTGCCCTGAGAGCCAGCAGGTGGCGTAGTGGTTATGGCACTGGACCCTATATGGCCAACTGAGTCATTTGACTCCTGTACCTGATGGCTTGGAAAACATGCTGGGCAAGTGTGTGTGGGCACCCAAATCTCAAGAAGAGAATGGAAGAAAATGGACTGTGGCATAGCCTTCTCACCTGAAGGCTCTCACTCTCTCCCTCTCTTTGCTCCTCTCTGATGAGCACACATGCAAAAACAAAAACAAACAAAAAAGAGATCACTTTACCTGCACTTAGTAATTTAGCCGTATCTAGGTCTTGGAAAGAAACTCCTTCATTTAACTGGATAGGACACCGATAATTTAGCATCTGTAGCAAGTAACTGATTCCATCAACAAGGTACTACATAAAAGAAAGTCAAAGCCAAAGAACTGAAAGTAGTATATGCAAAGTTGCATAAACGTTGAACAGCAATTTTTTCTCATTCTTTACTCAAGAAAAAAAATACAGATACATCTTATGGCTACTACATTTCAATGATGTAAGAACCCACCACCCAAAGACTTTCCTTCCAAATAGTCCAATCAGTAAGAGTACAAAAAAAATAAAATAAAAATATAAAGTTAACCAAGAACATGTGTTTTAGTAATACACTTGTCAAAAATGTTTTCAGGGGAAGATACAGATAGAAGACAAAGTTGTATACAACATACCTCATTAAAATTAGGGATGCACTTATTATAATTTAGAAGCATGATCAAATAATCGAATTCATATCTAAAAGTGAGACCTCCTATTTCCAAGTCTACCCTAACTGTGAGTACATTTAATCCAAGTTAAAATCCTTAGTGATTAAACATTAAGGGCCATCAATTTGAATTTCATGATTTTTGTCAGAATGGTTGAGATGAACAAAGGAACCACAATTTTCTGGAGGCAAGGTTATAAGCTTCTTTAGCAGTGATTTGCTGACAGTAATTTGCTCATAACCATGTGTCCTCTCCCAGTAAAAAATGTTTCGAAATTAATACAGTGTATCTTGTATTTTCAAAATAAAAATACTGAGCTTAGCCAAAAACATGTAGTACTTACAAGCTTAAACAAAAGCATATAGAACTTGCAAGTTTATAAAATGCTTTAGCGTGTTACCTCAGTCTTCTCAAGAACCCCAATTGTTTGAGATTGTATACGTAGTAAGTAAAAGAACTAGAACACAATCCCAGGTCCTTTGATCACATTACTCTTACTACTATGACAAAAAAAGTCAACAATCAGAAATGTGTAAGAAATATCTTTTCACCTTTTTAAGTAAACTAGATTTTCTCAAGAGCCAATCTCTCCGTTTGGTCAGAGAATGACAGTACATATACAGCAGGGCTCCTCGTCGCCAAGAGAGACATTCCAGTAGCTCATCCCCAAGCAAATCGCAGTGCTGAAACATCAAAAAGACTCAGCTAACGAGAAATCTGATGTCTATCACAGTCCAAAGTACTTCAAACCACTGAGCAATTGAAAGCACTCTCATTTCAAAAACTGTGCCCCTTGTTTAAGTTCAAAGTAAGGAATGTATTGCTTTGAATCACTTAGAAATAAGGAAACCTACTGCCAAGTGAAAATTAAAATAACTACTTCAATTTATAGTTTTACAAAAGAATGTTTAAAATATTTAGGGACTAGCAGATGGTATAACGGTTAAGTCGCTGGACTCACACATAGTAGATCGTGGTTTGGGTTGTGGCTTAAAACTCACGCTGGGCACATGTGCATCCATGCCCAAAATCCCAAGAGAATGGAGGAGAAGGGACTGCTGCATGGCCTTACCCCCTTGGGGGAGGGTCTTCTAGCTTTCTGTCTCTCTCTCTCTCTCTCTCCAGGAAGTGCATCGACCCTACAGAAAAAAATTTCTCTCAGAAAAAAAAAAAAATTTAGCAGCAAATTCCACTAGCATATTTGAAATACAAGTAGACCATAATCTGATTAAAAAGGTCACTTTTCAGAAATATTTCTCTTTCACTATTGCTAAAATAATGAAGAGCTATACCCAAAAAACAATTTTAATACATCGTAACTTTTATAGTGGGTGCCATTTAAATCTGAGGATGATTGTATTCCCTTAGCTTCCCCAGTTAAATGCATAGAGCAAAGATAATATGTAGGCACATAGTCACTGTAGTTCGGTGATTGAAGATAAGAAACTATCTGCTTGAAAGAGTATCCAAGACTAGAGATATGAATCTCAGAATCATCTAAATAGAGATAGCAGTGAAAAGCATGTGAACAGGTTGTCAAACAAAGATAGAATGGAGACTATCAGGAAGAGATAGCTCTGAGACATATCTCCATTTCTAGAATGGAAGAGAAGGGACTTGGTAGAGTGAGATCAAGAGAAGGCTCTGCAGAGATGAGGAAGAAACATGAGCATGCTGAGTCTCTGGGACCAGGTGCCTAATGCTAGGATGCAGCAAACATTTAGGAGGATGAAGACTGTAAAAAGGAATATTCGTGATAATTAGATTCCAGGTAACTTTCAAGAGAACACAGATCTGCAAAGTAAAGGGAGCAGAACTAGGAAGCATCCTGTAGAAAATGATTAGGCACTGCAATTATAATTCTACTATGCAAATATTCTGAAACATATTTAGTAAAATGGTACTTTAGTTGTAACACTAGTCTAATGTGTGAACAACGCTCCCTCCCTTGATTTTAATTTAAAACAAATTAAAGATAAAATGAAGAACAATACAGACTCCCAAGAGCAGGACTGACAGAACGGGCAGCATTGCACCACAATGCACAGAAGGGTAAAACTTACTTTTGGTTGCATATTATTTTCTTTAGCTAAAATTTCTGGTTCTGAAAGAAAGCTGATCAGTTCTTTTACTTTCTGTGAAGATGAGTCTTCAGGAAAATCTTCATCTACAAGTTTGTTCTCCTCAAAATATGTCATGTCTAAAATAGCCTAAAGAAAAAGAGAAAAAAGTATTGATAAATGATTTAAAACTTGAAATAATTCTTAAGTTTACCCTCACATTTATAGATGCTTTATTAGACATTTCAATCCTCTGGCACAGTAAGCAAAGTAGCTTTAAACATAATCTGAAAAAGACTTTATAGAAAACTTTTTAAGTATTTTACTACAATTGAAATAGATTTGTGTTTTCATTAACATAGATTAATCATATACAATAATAAAAATGTCCTTAATAATTATATTCTTTGCTATTTATACATATATAATCCCTGAAAATTTTCTGCTGCATCAAGTTAAGGTCACCACCCTTAGCTGCATACAATGAATTTCAAAGGGCTTGTTTTCCCACAAGTAGAGTCAGCATTCGGGAAATATGTATGTCGCCACCTGGTAGAGAGCACATACCGTCAACATTATGCAAATTGCACACTAAGTCCCCAGCATTAATAAATACATGAGCTCTTCTGTTCTAGCACCCCTAAGCTCTCCAATTCTTCTTTTTTTTTTAAGTTTACTACTTTTTTCATGAGAGGAGAGGACACACCAACAGGGTCTTCCAACTGTGATCCACCCCTAGTCTTGGCCGCCCCAATCCTGACCACGCATGTTCCTGGTATATAAAGGACAAGAATGCGGGACCTTTTCATGTAGGTCTAATATCGCAGAACTGTGTGTTACTACTGTGCCACAAGGTGGCCTCTCCTTTTGTTTTCATCTATGGTCTGAATGAAGAAGCTGAATTCTAATGACATTTCTACACTAATGACCTAACCAAGGACAAGTCAGTTTTTGTCTTTTCTGAGCCTCAATTTCTTCACTGGTGAAATGGAAAATTGGTGAAATAGTTTTCACACTTCCTTGCTTTGAGGATTAAGTATGCACACATACACACACACACACACACACACACACACACACACACACAGTGCATTTGGAACATTACATAGCACATAGTGTTCCTTAAGTGGTGTTATTGTGTGGAAGGCCTATGCCAGGAGGAGTTTTCACACTTCCTTGCTTTGAGGATTAAGTATGCACACATACACACACACACACACACACACACACACACACAGTGCATTTGGAACATTACATAGCACATAGTGTTCCTTAAGTGGTGTTATTGTGTGGAAGGCCTATGCCAGGAGGAAGAGAACAATGGAAAAGGACCTGATGATTCAGAACTATCAACAGGGTTCAATCAGATGTGGGAAATTTAAGGCTGTCTTCTAAGGCTTTTGCCCTATTCTTGGAGATACATTAAAATATATAAAATATTATCAAATGAAAGAAATGAGATGACATCACCATACACAGATAGGCAGAGTCTTCTAAAAAGGAAATAAAGCTAGGCAAAGTACCTGCCAAATTACAACAGTTCTTTGAGGTTCGTGAATAGGCTTATTCAGCCATGTCTGATGATAGAAACCACGTTTATGTCTATCCTAACACAAAGTACAGTGCCAGGCATGTAAATGCTACAATGTGCACTTTGGAAGCTTAACTTAGTTTATTCTACTTTCTATAACTACTTCTATAGCCCTTAGCAATCAAAGCAAAGCATATGAAAGCACTCTATCTATCAACTACAAAGTGCCATACAAATGTCAGTTACTATTATGAAGTTGTATTTCTTACTGTCAGCTTGTCTCAGTAGTGTTTAAGAAAACAGGTGTTATCCAGAGAGGCCTGAATTCAAAAGGAAGGTAAAAGAGAAAAGAGGAAACAGAAAAAACCTGTATGTATGACATTAGTAGGGGAAAGTCATGGAATTTCTACAGAAAGGTGAATTTTAGAGTCTCCCACACCCCCTGAAGCCTCCAAGAGCTTGGAGATTGTCTACACTGATGTTTTGCTTAATTACCTATAAAAGGGAGCAATTCTGTTATCTGCAAGATTTTTTTCATGATTTTTACCAACTCCTCTAATAAATCTTACTTGTTTGCGTACTGCTTCAAAGTTTTGAGTCCATATACTTTATACATACAATGTTTTGAACAAAGTTAAACACTTGAAATAAAGAATAAACTAATTTCGGGGCCTGCAAGTGGTTAAGGCGCTGGACTCCTACATGGCCAACCGTGAATTAAGTCCCAGACCCAGGGGCTTAAAACTCACGCTAGGCGCATGCACATGTGTGTCCAAAATCCTGAGAGGAGAATGGAGGAGAAGGGATTGTAGTATGGCCATCCCCCCGAGGGTGATTTCTCATTTTTTCTCTCAGGTGAACACACACACCCTATAGTAAAAATCTCTCTCTACAAAATAATAATAATAATAATAAGCTAATTTCATAACACCTAAACTTCAAAGTCTACCACCTAAATAAGCAATCTGCCCTTACAAAATGCCACAGAGCACATCTGTTTTAGTACCTGTGTGTAAAGTTCTAGAAGATTTGATGGATTTGAACATTCTTTCTCTTCTCCACACAGGAGTTTCAATTTTTCTAGAGCTGCAGAGGCCCGAATTAAAAAGTGATCTGTAAGGAATAAACACATGGTATTTCACAAAGTTCCAGAGTGCTAGTTAAACATGAAAAGTTACGTACTTGAATTAATAAAAGGAAATTATAGGGTACGGAGAAACAACATGGTAGTAATAATACCTTATCTAAAACACAAAGAATATCATGTCTAATCATAATTAAGTATATTTATCATAGACATATTTTTTCTGGAAAACAAAAATTAAAAAAATCCTAAACCCACCATCACCATTTCTTAAACGCAGTCTGATTTTTTATAATGCTGATGCATTCAAAATATTTATCAAATTTGAAACTTTTACTGGAATAGTACAAATAATATACACAAATCTACAGAAAAGTCTTCTACTGAAAACTTAAAATATATTTCACAAATGAAATTGCAAACATTTTCTAAAAGAACATGATTGACCAAAAGCCTCATGAATATCAATATTCTCAACAATTTTAACTTATATTTATAACTGTGACAACTAAAATTACATACTATAGCTACGTATGTTATTCCTTTAAAAACTAAGAAATGGAACAAACTGAACTCACTAAACTAATTCCTTCAAAACCTGGAAGAAATTAAAATCTTCTAGCACGTTCTCTAATCCAAATCACCCTTCCTTCACCTTCCCTATCTTCTAATTTTTCCCTTTCTCTAAGATTATACTCCATTTACTGCTTCTCTGAGTACCTTTTCTTATCTGTCCACACAAAGTACTATCCACTCTTCTGCAGTACCTCATGCAGTCAATTTGAGATATGCTCATTATCAAGACACTACAGTTCCTGAGTTTGCCCCTAAATATGCCCTTTTCTTCTCAATGGTCAATGGATAGATTATTGCAGCACCTAGTGCGAGCCCATGGGATTCAGCCTCAGTGTTGAAGTGAATGCACCATATGATGGCGTTAAGTTTACACAAATGAAGACTAATCTCCATCTAGACCAAATTCTGATTATTGTAAGATCAATCAAATTGAAAGCTATTGTTTTGCTATCTCTTTCATAAGTAACACACACAAAACAAAAATGCACAAAGATTCTTATTTTTTTAGGGAGAGATTTTTGCTGTAGGATGTGTGCACTTACCAGAGAGGGAGAGAGAGAAAGTGAGAAATCACTCCCCAAGGGGGATGGCCACACCACAATACCTTCTCCTCCATTATCCTCTTGGGATTTTGGGTTGGCACATAGGCACACACACCCTACGTGAGTTTCAAGCCGTGGAATCCATAACTCGAACTCTGCAGTGCCATAGCCACCATACCATGTGCTGGCCCTGTGTTATCTTCTCAAGATGCAAGATTATTTTAAACGTAAAGACCTGCATCAAAATCATTAAATCATTGTGGAAGAAGCATGCTACATGAACTCATGACATAATTACTGTGGGGATAACATAACTTACATTTTGGAACTGTATTTTTACTAGAACCATTTATTTAAAATAAGGACTTGCAAGGCAAAAGATAAAAGTTATTCTGGACCAGTCCCATAGCTCAGTGGTTAAATGCATGTAGGGAGTTGGATCTCACATGGCCAGCCATGGTTCAAAACCCAGACCAGGTGGCTTGAAAACCAAGCAAGCCCAAAATCCTGGTGGGAGGGAGAAATGGAGGATGGGCACTGTGGCATCACCACACTCTGGAGGCGGGAAGGGTGCGTTCTCTCTCCCCTCTGTCTCTCTTTCTGGCATTTAAAAAAAAAAAAAAAAAAGATGACAGTGATTTTTATAGAACTCAGGAAAAAATAATCCTTCTCAAAACATACTTCCAGACAGTAAACAAACTACGTTTGTACAATGAGAAATAAACAAAAATTAGCCAGAAATAAGAAGTCATTCCCAAATAGAATAATGCTTAGCTATATCTGGCTCTGATGTGAAGACATCAGCAACTATGAATCTCTATAATCTAGTATTATATATAGCTTTTACATTAAAGGACACATTTTGAATGTATATTATGTATATTATTTTGTTACATGAGAAAAGAATGTAAGTTCAATTCAAATATGTGCAGCTTTATTTTAATTAATTGTCAAAAAAAGGAAATCTTGCTAGTAATACTTTAATTAGAGCCGATTTCAATACTAAGTAATAACTCATAATAAGCAGTAATGTGGACCACTATTACTATAATTTAATATTAGCAAACTTCCATAAGTATAAAGCCTCCAAACAAAAACACATGGCACATGATTCTTATTTTCAGCCTGAGGCCAGCTAGAATGGATTAAAGACCCTTCCAAGAGAAAATGAAAAACTACTTTTGAGTTCAGTTAATAAGCAAATAAAACCATTCTTCGATCCCTTTTGACTGGTTCAAATGGAGATGGAATTAACTTGGTTACACTTTTAAGTAACAGCTACTACTATCCTTGAGCTAACTATTCATGTGACTCCTGGAATTCACTTATCACAAAAAGTTAGCTTCTTGGACTATGGGTCTTTGAAAAATACACTCCTGACAAGATAATACCGCAAAGACTGTTCACTGAAACTAGTGCACTTCACCATGGACTCAAAAAACTCACCAACTATTCAACTGCTTCTTGAGATTGAACAGGAGTCTCACTATTGTTTTCCTACGAATCTGACAATTGCCTCAGTTCACTAGAATTTTAAAACTTTTTTGTAGTAAACTCTCAAAACTGAAAAAGCAGTAGTGTGGAACCTATTTGCAAACTGAGGAGTAATGAAAAGAGATCTGAATTTCAAGTCAGAAGACCGAGGTAATTTCTCTAAGCCGGTTTTTCCTAGCAGCTAAGACGTTCCCAAAACAAATACAATACAAAGCTCTTGTGAGGACGGAGATGATGTAGGTTGAAAGAACTGTCTACGTTACGTTTGTGTACTGTTTAGTTTTGAATGAGAAACATACGCAGCAATGTAGAACTGTTATACATGCTTATTTATCTTTATTGGATGCAAACCACTAATACTTTGAATACTATCACTCATTTAACCATTTATCTAATGTATACTTTTATGTAGACTCTACCCTTTCCCATTCGCTACCGAAATGGTTAATGCCCATAACACATATCCAGCTGAGATGTAAACAAAACAAACACAGATGTTCACGGGTAATGCAAAATGCGGTTTTTGAAGCAACCAGCTAGGCAGTGCGAGTTCTGTTGGGTGGGAACCTATGGCGCAGCTCGGGTCAGAAGCGCAAGACCTAGGGGCGCGGTGGCGTGGGACCCCCACGGGCCACAGGCCGCAGGCTTCAGTCCACAAGACCCTCGAGTGCCAGCCCTGACCTACCGACCGCCCTAGGCCCCCTCTCCGCTCCCTCACCGTCTTCACCGGCGGCTTCGCTAAGCTGCTGTATGTGCGCCTGAGCCAGGTCCCCGAGCTCTTCCACTCGCCTCACCACACTGGAGCCGGCGGCCGCCATGGCCACAACAGGCGGGGGCGCCCCCGGCC